TGTGGCAGGTTATCGGGAGTTAAACTTCTGCTTTTTTATACCATAACATTATTCTAGGATATGGTTTAATTATTTTGGAGAATGGGAGAAAGAGTACACACAGGATAATTAGGCGTCTGGATTTTATATTGACAGTGTTTCAAAATGAATATACGAACTCTGTTGTTTTTTCAGTTCTATCAGTGTTTCGAAATTATTTCAGAAATATACTTTCCTGCTTATGTGTTGAAATTATTTTCGAAATTTTTATATTAGCTGTCTATGTTTTCCAGTCAGTTTGGTGTTTCTTCCTGTCTTCACCTTGGATTTACTTCACGGTTGTGCTTTCTGCTACATTTGTTTTTGGAATGTTTTAAGATTGTCCTTGTTTTGAAAAGTTTTAGAAATTGGGGTTTTTGTTACATGTGTGTCGAAATATGTATTATTGTATTTTTAAAGTTTTGAAGATTGTGTTTTCAGTTGTCTGTGTCCTGAAATGATTTTGGCTTTAGCTACATATTGTTTTAAAATGATTTTAGGGTTATGTTTGCAGCTGCCCGATGTTTGAAAAAAAATATATATTTATTTTATTTCGTTTACTTATGCTCCGAAGTATTTCAACAGGTTTTGTGTCTTGATTTTATACATGATTTCTTCCAATATACTGTTGCGTCAGCGAGGTCACATGACTAGTGTCACACCACCTGCTTTCTAGAAATATCCTGTTCCTTCGTGAATGCCCTAGCATTTACTAGATTGGGGGTAGCCTGGTATATATAGGATGGTCACAACGTGACGGGACAATGTGTGTAGGTAATGAGTAATTGAACTGCAGTCAGAGAGAGACGTATTGTTGAAGTTGAGCTCGTGAGACGTGAATTATAGTTTGTTATAGCGCGACTGTTGAAGTTGAGTGTATCGTAAAGTTGTATTCGGAAAGAATAAACCAGTTTTATTTAAGAAAGGACTTGTGTCGCTAAAGTTTCGTCGGAACGAATTTACGGAAAATCAATTAACAAACGGAGACGTAACAAATTGGTGTCAGAGAGTGGGACGAAAAAAAAGAAACGGAAACGAGAAGCGGCAAATCAAACTACAGCTTAGCAGATTTGATGGCAGCAATACAAGAACAGCAAAAGAAACAAGAAGAGAGACAACAGCAGTTGCAAGAAAACCTGCAACAACGGCAACTCGAACAACAAAAGAAACAAGAAGAGAGACAACAGCAGTTGCAAGAAAACCTGCAACAGTGGCAGCTCGAACAGCAAAATAAACAAGAAGAGAAATTACAGCAGTTGTTGGAGGAAAAAGAAAAGAAACAGGAAGAACGAGAAAATAAACAAGAAGAGAGATTACAGCAGTTGTTGGAGGAAAAAAAAGAAACAAGAAGAACGAGAAAATAAACAAGAAGAGAGATTACAGCAGTTGTTGGAGGAAAAAAAAGAAACAAG